AGGCTGACCCGCCCCAACTCTCTCAGCCTCTCCTCGTAGGGAAGGTGCTGCAGTTTTGTGGCCTCCTCTGTACTTGCTCCAACAGTTCTATGTCCTTCTGATTTTGGGGACACCAGAGCTGTGTGCAGCACTCCAGGTGGGGCCTCACAAGAGAAGGGCAGAAGGGGACCATCTTGCTAGTGGCTTGATGTAACCTTATTTTTAATTCCTCTGGGTTGCTGCAGCTATTACAAAATTTGGGCAGCAACAGTCCTGACATAGGACATAATTACAGGATTGTGTCAGGCAGATGGTTACAATATGGATGGGAATTGAGGTTTTTGCCAGGAAGGAGTCATCGTTGTGGTGTTCCTTAAATGTCTGGGAAGTATGCTGAGGGATTCTTCATTGCTTAAGTTGCTTTATAATAGTGGAGCTTTGTACATATTTCTGTTAGGGCTTTATCATCCAAGAACAAGCAGAAGGTCTTGTACGTGCCTTCAGTGTAAACCTATCTCAGCAGGATACTGCTATCTGCTTCCCCAAAAGCAGTGGTCTGGTTAGCATTACAGCTCTGGGAAGCATAAACAAAGATCAGCCTAACAGCTTGCTGGATGTGACTGAACACAAGATTAGCTAAAGCTACTAGCACAGCACTTAAATGTCCAGTGTTTGGAAAAGAGGCTTAAAATTAACACAGTGTGCCCCTAATATGGCCAGCTGGGGAAATCTCTGAACTTTGTCTTGTAGAAGTATTTTCCAGCTGCCTTTCCACCTCACCTGTGGTCCCTGCTGTGAAACCATGTGTTTCTGTAATCTGCTGTCAGAGCTTTCAGAAGGTGTTTGCACAACTCAATTTCTTGCCTGAGTTTCCAGGTAAGGGCTGGTTTCACTGAGCCCTCAATGCTGAAAAGCCTTCTCCCTTGCTGTGTGTGTTGAGGAGGGCTTTGTGCACACTGACTTTCATAGGATCACCAAGATTAGAAGAGACTTTTAAGATCATCAAGTCCAACCATCACCAGTCACTGCTGGAACCACCTAAACCATACCCTCCGGTGCCAGATCCAGACACCTCTTAAACACTTCCAGGGATGGTGACTCCACCACCTCCCTGAGAAACATATTTAAATGCCTGACCATTGGAATATGGCCTTACCTGTCATGGGCCATGGATTCTTTAGCTGAATGGGCCAGGGCTGGTATCTGTACACAGAGTGCCCATGTGGGTGGTGGCTGCACAGTGCTGGTCCAGGACGTGTCCTGTGCACACATAATGAGAGCTGGGATGTCCCCAGAGCCTGATCAGGAAAAGTGTGGTCAGCAGGACCAGAGAGGTGATTCTGCCACTGACTTGGTGCTGGTGAGGCCACACCTTGAGTACTGTGTGCAGTTCTGGGCCCCTCAGTTCAGGAAGGATATTGAGGTGCTGGAGCAGGTCCAGAGTGAAGGGACTCGAGCACAGGTGCCACGAGGAGAGGCTGAGGGAGCTGGGGTTATTTAGCCTGAAGAAGAGGAGGCTCAGGGGAGACCTTATCACCCTCTACAACTCCCTGAAAGGAGGTTGTAGGCAGGTGGGGGTTGGTCTCTTCTCCCAGGCAACCAGCAGGAGGACAAGAGGGCACAGTCTCAAGCTCTGCCAGGGGTGGTTTAGGCTGGATATTGGGAAGAGAATTTTTTACAGAGAGAGTGATCAGGCACTGGAATGGGCTGCCCAGGGAGGTGGTGGGTTCACCATCCCTGGAGGTTTTCAAGATGAGACTGGATGTGGCACTTAGTCTAGTAACCACAGTAGGGTTGGACTTGATGATCTTGGTGTTTTCCAACCCAGTTGATTCTATGATTCTATGAAATCTTCTTGCTCAAAAATTTGTGATGTTTTTAGAGGCTTCTGCTGGCCTTTTGCTTCTGAGTTTTGCAGTCTTTTGACAACTACTCTAAGCATCTCCTCTGAACAGGAGTATTCTCCTGTTTCAGAAGAGAGCAAGACTCTGTACTACATGTAATCCCGAGTGAAATACTCAGATAAACACTTACTCTTTATGATAGTCACACAGACATCATCATTCTTCAGGTAAAGCTATGATTTAGATTGAACTTTCCTTTTAAAAAAAAAAATCCAAACATGCAATTTCCAAAGTCTGTCTATTCCCCACTCTTTCTGATCCCTGTTTATAAAGCAGGTCTGTCTTGAGTTGCATTTAGCGTGTTTTAAGAGTGAGCTGTAGTAAAGGGAAGTATTTGATTTACAAGGATCAGATAGGTCTCTCTGTAAACTTCCTGTGTTCCCCAGCATCTGGAAAAGCATATGGGTCAAACCTTCTCACTTATTCTAAGCAGCTTGCTGTTACTTCCCCATAGCTGTGGTGGCTTTGGGGAAGTAGAGTCTGCACCCAAATCTGCCAGAACTCATTACAGGTCTTAATCTCAGATCAGACCTTTCTTCCGTGCTTGAAACTGCAAATGGAAACCTGGAACGCATTTATTTCTGTAATCCTAAACCACAGCTTTTAACAGTTCTAAGGGCCATTTCAGACCGAGTGTATTCAGCTCCCAGTGAAGAGAAACCCTGTGTTTAGGGTGGGTATTGTGGATAACTGTAAGAAGTTAGACAGATATACCAGACTCTGAAGGGGTTCCTGTGTTTTTGTTTTGGGGTTTTTTTTGAGTGGTAGAAACACAGGTTTTAGTAGGTTCACATTGTTTGTATTTTCAGTAGTTGTATAGCATCTGAATTATTTCAAAGATATATTTAAAATCTGTTCTTGTGCATGTTGAAAGAATGGTAGGATTAAAACTGACTTAAATCAGGAGCCAGAAGTTGAAGAAGGGGCAGTTGTATCAGGCTGCAAATTCCCTGGAGGCATTTTCCAGAGCGAATTACTTTATTTAAGTAAACTTATTTTACAATACTATTATCAAAAAAACATAAAAAAATTATATTTTTTATCCCCATCTGAGATGCTGCAGTTACAAACACAAACAGCAACTACTGAGCTCATTTTGTAGGAACTTAGTATGTGTGTAGCTTTTGAGTTTCTGTAAAGGCAGAAGCTGACCCTTTGGTCTACTAACATGGGCAATCAGTCATAGCTAGCTGCAGTATTTGTAACACTGTAGGTGTTTCCTGTGAGGATGTGGAAATAGGGAATACCACAAAATAGCTTCCCTGTTTTGCTTACCAAGCAAGAATAATACATGCCTGGATTCACACTGATAAGGGTTAGCTCCCAGCAATCCGCATGGGCCAGAGGAGTGCAGGCGCTGACGAAGTGGAAGAACAAGTCTCCAGTGCAAAGCTGGTTAAGCAGCCTCATAGGAGACCTTGCCTTGGAATAGTCAGGCTCTGTATCTACAGCTGCTGCTTTACTGCTCCTTGAACTTGTGGGGACTCTGACTCTCTTTACTTCTAGCACCCAGGGCAGTATTTGCTCTTGACTGTGAAAGGGAGGTTCTGCTAAGCTCCCAGGCATGTAAGAGTGCTTTTTTTCTTAATTGTTCCCATTTCCACTAGGTGAAACTATTCATATCACTGTCCCTGCAGTGATTGCTGGCTGAGAGCTAATTTGAAGTATTTGGAAATAATAAATTGGCCTAAAAACATTGTTTGGATGTTGACTCCTCTTCTGCTGTTCACGTGCTGTGGTGACTGATGCTCTGGCAGCTTCTGCATGAACATGATCTCAGAAAGAAATGGAGGTGCTGAGCTACTTCCCTGAATCTAGGAACAGAGGTGTTATAATACACGTGACAAAATTATAGAACTGAAGAAGTGTATTTTCCAGAGATATTCCTTGTGTGGAAGTAAATTTTACTGAGATTGTGGTTTTTAAGACTTTTTGCTTTTTTTTAAAAAGTTTAATTGTTGCACCTGAGATTTGTTGCTGTCTGGGTTAATACTATACAAAATCATAATGCCATAATAAAAGCATAGAGCTAAATTCACTTTTCCCTGGATATTTTAACCATCGTTAGATAAATATTGGACTGACTTCTAATTTTTGACATCAGAAAATAAAGGAAAGGATCAAGACAACTGTTTAAGCTGCTAAGACATAAAGCTATCAGATAGAAAGAATACAGCCCATCTGTGTTGTAATAGTAGTAATTGATGTGATGGATAATAAGGATGATATTACTTGGTACAAAGCAAATTGCAAAGATGGTAAGGATCAAAAGACTGACTTTAACATACCAGAACCATTCATGAGTCTTGAGTGTTCGTATAATTGAGACGTAGCAGAAAACAATAGTTGCAAGAGGTATTAAAAACCCAAACACAACTAAAGAAACATAGTAGTAGAACTGGAAGGAAGATATGATTTCACAGGCATTGTGCACGTCGTGACAGGTGTAGATGTCCAGTTGCTTCACATAATAGCTTTGCTGCATGATACAAAGTGGGAGCATATACAAGAAGACGATGGTCCACACAGCAGCACATGCCACGATGGCATAGGCACGTTTGGGTAGGCTCTTGTAGGTGAAGGGGTGGACAATGGCAATGTAGCGGCTGACACTGATGCAGGTGAGCAGCAGAATGGAGCAGTACATGTTGCCATAAAACACCGCAGTGGCAGCCCGACACATCATCTCCCCAAATATCCAATTGTTCCCGTTGATGTGGTATGCTATCTTGAAGGGCAGCATGATGCAGAAGAGCAGATCTGAAATGGCCAAGTTTGTGTAGAGGATAGCTGTGCATACAGAGCGGATCCTGAAGATTAGCATCCACAGAATGACGGCGTTAGATGGTACACCCAATAAAACAGCACTGAGGTAGACTGCAGGTATTAGCTTGGTGCTCAGAGAGCTGGTCAGGTACTCCAGCGTGGTGTTGTTCACTTCTGTTAATGTGGAGTCGTTTGACTTTTTGGATGTACATTTGTTTTCTCTGATGTGGATGGTTGTTGTCTCCCCTTCAATAGCGTAAGGGGGAATGTAATCGTAGTCTCTTGCTGAAATTCCACGGAAAGTCTTGATGAGAGACACAGTTTTAATTGCAGAGCCATTCAGTGAAAATCCTGAAGCTTAAAAAAGAAAGTATTAAAATATTTAAAGAGGAAAAACTACTGGATTAGCAACATGATTCACCTTTGTGCGATGGTCTAGTAACTATGGTAGGGTTGGACTCGATGATCTTTGAGGTCTTTTCCAACCCATTTGATTCTATGATTCTATGATCTCCACGTGAAAAGCAATAGCTGTTGAAAAGATTTGGTGATGTTCTCCTTTGATCTGGGTGTTCATATCAAATGTACTGAGAATGGTCTTGCCTTGTCATTTCATGCCCAATCCCTAAAATTCATCATTAATTTGAAAACAAAGAATAAAAATCTGATCTAAATAAGACTTCCTAGACTATAGGTTTCTGCAATGATCTTTCTGCATTTTGTATGTTTTCAGCAATCTGAGGTGAAACGTATCATCCTCTTCTGAAGTCTTTATGACCTGTGGAGGGTTTTTCCCAGTAGTGGTGGTGTTGGCAATTCATCATGTAAGCATCTGCCTTGTTTTAGGCTCGATCACAATTTCCAAAGGAAACAGCATGACTGTCCTTGTCATTTCATCTATGAGATGCATGACTGCAAAAGATGCAAAATGCACTGTCTTGCCTAGGACAGGCTGAAACTCTCAAATCAGAAAACTGAAATAACCCTCATATTTTTTGGTCTCACATATCAAATTAGTGTTAATCTTCAGCTTCTGGTTAAAGCAAACCAGATTTTTTTCAGTTCCTTGTACCTGAGGAGGGGCAGTTAGCCCTGAGAGCTGAAAGCAAATGGTTGGGCCGGTATTTAGTGTAATTTATTGGGTAGTGAATAAAACTTTTCAAGTAGCAGGAAAACTTTCAGTGAGTAAATATTGTTAGCATGTGGGCAAAGCCAATAAACCCACTTTTTTTAATGGCTGTTCCTCAGTCTTTAGTAGAGGACTTTGTACACTCATTGATGTTTCCACATGAAGCACAAATATGTTCAAAATGCTTTCTAACCCGATGTGTTGTAGAACAGATTTTGCAGAGTAAACAGCTGTGGAAGTAGTTTTGTAACTTAAAAAACTTCTGAGCTGTGCTTTAATGAAAAAAGGCTTGTTGTGAAGCTTAGAGGGTGTGTCATGAAGCTGGAATTCAGGCGCAAATTGAAAATTGGACCTTTTTTTTATGTTTCCTTATTCAAATAGCATTTGGCAAACAGTTTTATCAATGCTCACTAGTAGATTTATGGTAGAGTGTTTTGATACCATAATTAGCAGACTGCATCCCTTTTAGTAATTTTTTGGTGGTTAATCCAGAAAATTAGTTTTAACCACCCTTTAAAAGTTGTATATATGCATGGATATGCATATGTCTATGTAGTGTGTATATGTAAATAGAGAGATATATCTAGATAG